CGCGCCGCTCCCGCCTCCGCGGCGGCGGGGCGACAAAATGGCCGCCGCCTTCAGGGCCGGCGCCCGCGGGGCGCGGCCCCGGCCCCGAGCCGCCACGAGCGGCCCYGCCGCTGGTTACTGTGCCGCCCTCTCGGCTACTTTGTCGCAGCCCGTTTCCTTCCGCGAGCGCCCTCTGCCGTGACGGGGAACTGCCACCTCTGCTACACGGAGGGGACAAAAAAGGAGGAAAAAAAAAACCCCAAACGGCCTTTTTCTAGATGACTTCTCTCAGGAGAACTGTTTAGGCCGGGAAGCCTGGGATAATGCAGCTGCGCAGCTCCAGGGACTTGGACTGTATCGAATATTGCTCCTTGCACATTGAGCCCCCTTGACAAGTCTTTGCTGGCTGTCTCTTGTAGAAAAGTTGTGCTTTGTTTTTAACCCTTTAACCTGCCTGCTCTGAAAACATCTCCAAGCTCAGTAACACACGCTGCTATGCACTTTTAAACCCCATGGCAGTTTGCCTGGTCAGAGGGCTGTGAAGTCCCCAAAAAAACAACTCTGTGACAGGATCCCAGCAGGACAACTCAAGGTGTGCTGTAAGCCAAGGCTGTAACAGGTTTCTAGGAGAGGCAGCCTAGCACTGGGACAAGAAAATCAGGAAAATAAGGCGARGAAGCCGAGTGAGGGCAGAGCAGAAAGGCCACAGCACCTGTCACAAACATCTGCCGACTACTAAACTGCCCCGTTTTTAGAGTAAGCTTTTGCTGAGCTGCACATCTCAACATGTTCCTTTCCACCATTTTTCTGCTTGCAGCCTTGCCCTATGCAAAAGTCACAACTCCAGGCATAGAAAATTAGGGTGCAGAGCTCTTTCTCTTGGCTTTCTGCTGCCAGGGCTTGTTAACTCCCACCTCAGTTCTGAGGACAAGAGAACAATAAACAGGTTCTCAGGTAATCTCTTGATAGAAACAAATGGGCCTTTATTCTAATATATTCTGTTTATTCTAATGCTAATCTCAAATAGTTCTGTGTGAACTATAACCACTCAGGAGAAAAAGAATCTCAGAAGTGATACAAACTCTGAAGAAAATTGTTGAACCTTATCTGATTCTAGGAAATTTGAGTGTAAAATAAACATTATTCCTAAAATAAATATGTAAAAGGAATTGAAAATGCACATCCTGTGCTGATTGTAGCTCAGGGAAAAAATCTTGAAAAATGAGACTGAAATTAAGGATCGGAGCAGAATACTTCTGATTCCCCTATACTTTTCTCTTGACCAGCAGTGGCACCTTGAGGACATTCTTACCTTGTCTGAATATTCACCTGCAAAGTGCCATTTACCAACTTATCTCCTGCAAAGCTTTCTGGGGAGGTGATTATATTAACAATGTGCAGAAGTTTGAGTCCTTTAAAATACTTATAAAAAGTAAATTCTTATTTTTAAGTTTTTTTTTTCCCCCTCCTACCCTTTGTCCTTTGAAAGATGCACGCCCAGCATCACTGGTTACAGTGAGATTCCCTCTCCTCCCTACCACTCTAAGTRCACATTTTTTCTCATGCTTTTTTTTCCAGATTGGTTGCAACTTTTCACAAGGATTGAGGAAGAAAATGCTCCCACGAACACAATGTGATCCAAGAATTAAGGAAAAAAGAATCAGAGAGGAGCAGAGATGGGAAGCAAACATCTCTTCCAAACAAAGTGAATAATCAGCAGCAAAGAAAATCACCAGCAAATTTCTCATTTCAGGTATGTTTACCCTTTGTGACAAAAACCAAACAAACCCACAACAAAAACAKAAGGAAAAACTGCAACATTGTAGTTAAAAATTAAACATTACAGTTCATAACACATACAGTCTCAGCCACTGGAGGACAGAATCAACCTTTACCAGTTGAACCAGAACTGTTCTTAATTAAATATAAAATATTCTTGGTAAAGAGATTCTACTCAATTTAGACATCTAAACATACTCTGAATTATATTTAATACACCACCTTACATCTGTATAAGCTTCTGATTGTCTAAAGAAAGATGCAGAAAAGGTTTAGCCACTCCAAGAATGCCTCTGATTGCCATGCTAATGACTCATTCACAATGCTCATTAGACCCCTATTGCTTTCATTTAGCATAATGAGCCACACTAAAAGTTATTTATTATTTGATTAAAGCAAGTAGAGCTGACAGCATATTTGAGGCAAGGTTGTATTTGATGTTAAGAGATATATTATAGAACAAAATTGATATCAAGGCCTTAAGCAATCTAACAGACACCAGCAGCTCTCAGCCTGCTCTGTCTGCTCCCTGCGGACAGACAAATTGCAGGCAGAGYAGGGCCACAACAGTCAAAGAAGCAACATCACCAAGATGCAATGCTGGAATATTAGAAGCAGGTAAGGAGAGCAGGGTGGTGATAGCAAACAGATCAGGGAGTCATCAGGCAAAGGAAGCCAGGTCTGAGATGCAGCCAGGGACTCCAAATTGGAGTCCCCTCAGAATACCCTTGGGAGAAATCACACCTAGGAAGTAGCCCAGTAAAGCACCAGCCTGGGCTTAAATGCAGCCCTGGCAGTATGGGTGGGTGGAGGCCCCAGATGAGGCTGGTTAGGGCAATTAGGACCAATTAGTGCTCCTTCAAATTTCAGCAGTATAAAATATGTATTTAGAGAAATAAAGTTGGGTAGTTTTTGTCTTTCTGTTAGATTGGGGGAGTTGGGGGAGTTCAGGATGTATTTTTACCGCAAGGGTTGTTCTGATTATTAGTGTTTGTGTTTAGGCATACTTCCTTCACCAAACCATGGATAGTTTTTGGTATACTCTAGAAACTGCTTGATGGTTCTTTTTTGCACTTTAAAGGAAGTCTCAATTTAAACAAAGCATAGAACTTATTAGGAGCATGAACAGTAACAGTAAATCCACATGGCTCAAAAAAAAAAAAAAAAAATGAGTGACCTACTTTCTTTTTACTCTAAAGGAGTATTTCAGCCTGTTTTCTTTTTTTGTTGCTGCGTTCCAACCTCTGTTTATGAAAGTACTGTTCAAATGGAGGAAAGCATGCTGCTCTTCAAACGCATATCAGGGCTGTTCACAAAACAGCACAGTAATTCCATATTAAAGGAGTTTTTTAGTGCTCAGCAGTTTGCCAAAACAGGCCCAATCTCACTAACCTGTCACATGCAATTTGTCTTCCAGTTTATTTAATCAAAAAAATCCGAGAGAGATGGCCTGTCAACAGGGAGCCCTTCTTAYACTTCATCACTTTCAGTATTTCTTGTGGAAGAGGTTAAATAAAGTGCTCTCTAAAATAAGGGTTAATACAAATACCTGGTTATTGTAAACATCATCAAAACAAAATAATTTTAAATATCTGATGCCAACAGAAACCACAGCKCTCTTAAAATGCTGTATGTCCCACATCATGGAAGAGCATATTTTGCATTTGATTCATCTAATTTTTARTTGCATGACTGCCTAATTTTACTTCAATAGGTTTCTGTGTTCCTCATTTGCTTTTTAAAATTAAGAGAATTTGGGAACGACTGAAATGGTTCTCGAAAGAAGAGGACTGCTGGAAGGCCAGAGATTAAAGGAACACAGTGTGGAGCAAGTCTGTGTGATTCCAGCTTTTTTTTTTTTTATTTTTTTATTTTTTATTTTATTTTATTTTTTTTTTTTATGTGTCATTGAAAACTAGTGTCCTTCATAGTTTGCACTCCCAGCATCATGCTGTCTAGGGAACAGAAGAACAAAATACCCACAAATAATTTTGTAGTGACTAAAATATGCTTTGGAATTCTCACTGAACAATGGAGGATACATTCCACTTGCAAATTGGAGTAGTTTTGCTAGGGAGAATTTAAACTAAAGAGGAAAGTGGAAGCCATCCATTATAGGGCTCGACCTCATCCTAAATTGTACCAGTTGTTTTATCTAAAAGTGTCATAGGGTGTAAGTGTCATTTTGGATATGAGTGCTTATGCTCTGATCCATGAGAAGTCATTTAGACTTTTGGGGTCTGCAGAATGAGATACTTGGACCTGATGCTTATAGTTGAGGATCCTGTAATTCCAACTTCATGTCATGCCCCATGCCCATCCATTCATTTTCCCTCTGCCCTTGTGCTTCTACAGCTGCTCTTGTAGCTACACAGTGGTTCAGTTCAGGGAGCTGCTCTGACAAATAAGCAGTTCATTTGGAGTTGGGTCTATTGCTTGAGTTGCACATGAGCTGGCACAAAGGAGGCAGG